ATTATTTTGAGAAAAAAGATAAGGCTTCTTTGAACTGTACCTGCAGCCAGCTATCAGAAATATCTTCAATTTTTACTTTGTTTAACACAATGGAATTTTGATCAATTGAGTTCCAAACATCTTTAAGCTTCTTAAACAATGGATTATCTGGACCATTTATTTTACTGCTTGGATAAATGTTCCAGCAGTGAACAATATGCCTTTCATAGATGTGATGCCTACATGCTAGGTGAAGTAGTGGTCTATCAAGCTCTGCAGCTAATCTAATGCACACACCCTTTTTATTACCAGTATTTACAGAAGTTGTATCAAAAACGCATCCTTGTAATTTATCAAAAATATCAAATTGATGAAGAAGTTTTATGATTGTATTCTTCTGTGTTTCTCCAGTACTAGAGCTCAAATGAGGAACCCCAAGAAGCTCACTCTGTCCATCTATCCTAATGGAAACAGCAAGTCTGTCAAGTTGATGTTCTATTCCGCTTGTGAACTCCTTAACTATTTTTCTATCAAAATGGAGAATAATTGGTAATGATGAAGATTTAACAAGATCAGTAACGTGCTTTTTAATCTTTTCTCCCTCTTTAGTTACAACTTCTTCTGCAACTCTAAATGCGGTTGAAGAAAATATTGCAAAATTAGTAACATCACCTCCTGAATTAGCAATAACACTTGCCACTATTGCAGTGTGTTGTCCAACTGAAAGTCCTTCACCTATTGCTGTGAGAGCTGTTTTTTTTAAAATATTTTATGGTAACAAAACAACAGAGGTAGATTGTTCTTTTTTTATATCTGCTACATATTCACAGTCAGAATTATTATCACTACTTGAAGAGTTTTCTAAACTGTATAGATTGTTACCATTGTTTACTTTAATCTCCATGTTTATCATGGAACACAATTTTTTGTGGGATCTCTTAATAGTGTACGTAAACCTTTTATCATTTGTTCCTATTCTTCCTATCCTATTTCCAATTTGGTCTAAGATAAACACAATATCTTCATTTTTGGCTTCGGATGTCCTTCTCCGGTCTTGTATAATATCTTCAATTAGTTCTTCTTTTTTTTTACTAATCCAAAAGCATTTTTAACATTTCTTCAAAAAATGCCTCATTCCTTTTCGTATCTGTTGGGCTGTTCCTTTTGCTATTCTTCTTTAACTTGTAATAGTTGTTCACCATTTTATCAATCTTCTTTCTTTAAAATGCAAAATTTATTCAATGTTTAAAATAAAGATAAAAATAAATTTGTTGATAAATTTTGAATTCATAATTTACCTGATATTTTCCAAGGTTATGATAGGGAACCCTGCAAGATTCCATGGCCTTACCAATTTAGACATTACACAACAGTCAGCTTGTGGAGGGCATCTGAGCTCAAATGAATTAATTTCGAAATGATACCTAATTAAAACCGTTTTCTTTACTTTGGGATTCAAGTTTCTTAGATATAGGTAGTATTGCAAAACCTCTATGCCAGTAGGAAGTTTATAACATGAAAGATTTTCTTTAACTTTCTTTACTAGAAATACTTCAGCCTTATTTCGAGTGGGCTTCAACTTCTTTTTTGGTGGCATTTTACTATAAAATAACTTTTTTTTAAGTTAATTAGTTACTAAAAAGATAAATGGTAACCAAAAATATAAAATAAGTTAAAAATCAAATTGCATACACAAGGTAAAATATAATTGTTCACAAAATGAAACAATTATACGCGTATTTAAAATATAACAGAAAACACATTAAAATGGTACATAGGACAAAGGTAGTAAAAGGTAGTGAAATATAGTAAAATAAATCAATGTTTTTGAATTTTTTGATCTTCATTGTTCAAATAAAGAAACAAATTAAGCTTAATATTATATTTTTATTTTCTTCAAAAAGATAAAATAAAAAAAAAAGAAAGAAAAATTAATTTGGATAATGGTAACACTCCCCTCAATTAGTCCGAAATATGGGCAAAAAACTGGCAAAAAATGACCTTTGGACCCATTGAGGGAAGTCATGGAGTGATCTAATCATGAAAAAAAAAAAAAAATTATTAGTTATATCAAGGTTGGGGCACCTTATGAAAAGCAATGTTAGTTGAAATTCAAAAAAGTCATTTTTTTGGAACACCCTAATATATATATATATATATATATATATATATATATATATATATATATATATATATATATATATATATATATATATATATATATATATATATATATATATATATATATATATATATATATATATATATATATATATAATATATATATATGTATATAAATATATATATATTATATATATATATATATATATATATATATATATACATATACATATTTATATATATATATATATATATATATATATATATATATATTTATATACATATATATATATATATATATATATATATATATATATATATATATATATATATATATATATATATATATATATATATATATATATATATATATATATATATATATATATATATATATATATATATATATATATATATATATATATATATATTAGGGTGTTCCAAAAAAATGACATTTTTGAATTTCAACTAACATTGCTTTTCATAAACATATATATAAAACATGCTTCCTTTTACAAGTTTTGGGTTTTTTTCTCCTAGTTAATCAAAATATTGTTTTGCAGCTTTGGTAGAATTAAATTTGTAAAATAAAATAATTCTAATAATAATTACTTTATTCTTTTTAAATTTATTCAAGTTAAATCTAACCTTTCTACGCATGTTTCAAGAAGTTATTTATCAATATCTTTTTTCAGACTATACCAACTTTTGTTTTGGGATTTATACAAATAAACTGTTATCTCTTGGTATTTTTTTTCTGCCATAAATATTTTTTTTTATTAATCCAGCTTTTGTAGCTTTGAACTTTTAAAATAATCCTTTAATAGGGTACGAACTTAGAGATTTTTTCAATACCAAATCATTTCTGCATTCGAAAAAATTGATAAGCAAATATTTTTCTTTAATTTCTCAACTAAGGTTTAACCAATTTTTTTTTTAATGTCTTCATAATATTATTTTTAACTAATTTATTTTTACCAAGTATTTTTATATGAAGAATAATTTAAGGAAAGTTTTTTTAGAATTGAATGTAATCTCAAAATATTAATAGCCGAATGAATATTATTATTATTATTAATAGTGCGCATAGTTACGCATTGTTACGCCTATTGTTCGTTTTGTTAAATAAGGTTCTGCGTTATATAAAATACACTATTTCTTAGGTTTTAAGTTGTTTCTAGACTTTTCTAAACGCAGTTATATATTCCCCGCGGTCTTTCAAGTAAAATCAGCAAGCAAATTGGAGCTGATACGCTTATTTTCAAAAAGAATTGATGTTGTTTAATTTTTTTAAATAAAAATTAAAATAATTGTTAGTTTGTTGTTGCTTATTTATATTTTTCTAATTTTTATAGCATGTTTTTTTTTTTTAGAAGAAGTTAGAACTAAATTGTTTGGTGATATTGTTTTTATAGTAAAATGTTTCTTTTTTAGTAAACTGTTTCATTTTGTGGTTAGTCTTTTTAGAACATTTTAAGCAAGTATTGTTTTATTTTTTAGAGCAGTTAAGAAAAGCTGATGGTTTTTTTAGTAAGTTCAACTCGTTTTCTTATTTATAGATAAAGATTGTTTTTTGCAAAAAGTTTTATATTTAGAGTAAAGTTTTATATATGTATTTAATATGAAAAGTTAAATAAAATAAGACTTTTATTTGTGTTCATGTAAGCTTATATACATAAGTTTGCGTTTATTTTAGTCTATTTTATATTTCTCTATATCTATATTATATGAATATTTTCTTAGCAAAAGAAGTTAGAACTAAATTGACTGGTTAAATAGTTTTATTAGTACAATGTTTCATTTTTAAGAAAACTGTTTCAGTTTTGTCATTAGTCTTTTTAAAATATTTTAAGCAAGTATTTGCTTTCTTTTTTTTCGCATTTTTAGTAAGTTTAATTCATTTTCTTACACATAGGCTAAGATTTTTTTATGTAGAAAGAAAAAATAAAATAAAATTTTATTTATGTATTTAATATGAAAAGTTAAATAAAACAAGACTGTTATTTGTGGTCATGTAAGTTTATATACATAAGTTTGCGTTTATTTCAGTCTATTTTATATTTCTCTATATCTATATGTATATTTTATCTAAGGAAAAATAATAAGAAATAGAAAAATTAAGAAATTTTGCTCTGGAATTTGTCAAAAGAGTGTTGTGTTATGCTTCATTTTAAGGTATCTATATATATATATATATACATTAGAAATTTTTAATTTTGTTTTTAAATGATTTTTTTTTTTTAAATCTTTAGATATATACTGACTGACATAATTTCATTTTTATTAACAATGTCGTGCATTGCAGTCTGCATTCTTTGTTACATTTAAAATAATTGACGCTAATAAATGTTGTTTTATAGTTGTTAAAAGTTTGCATTTATATTTTTGCATGTATATTATGATCAAGGTTAAAAATATTTTAATAAATACGTGTATGTGGTGATATTACTCAGGTATCACCACAGCTTATCTGTATCAGGTACATTGATTTTCAATGTATTTATTCGTAACATTTTTAACTTCAGATTTATGGTGTATTTATTTGCTATAAAAGAACAAATCATTTTGAATTTTTTTAAAATATCTACACCAATCAACATTTAAAGTTCAATGTTCCATATACCATTTTTAAGTAGCTTCTAGGCTCTTTTGATGCTTTTCTTATTTAAATAGTTCCATAAGCAAGGTCTACAAGCAAATTTAAGATGAAAAGTATTTCACCTTTCAAGGAGTATCGATGTTGTTATCTGTTTAATTTAATTTGTTTAAATAGAGTAGTTAAAGTAAATAAATGTTTGTTTGTTTTTGGTTTTTTACTTATTTGTTTTCAGATTCTTAAGAACTAGGCAACTTAGCGAAACAAGATTTATTTTATTTTTTAGTGCAATTGGAAAGAGCTAAAGTTAAAGCTAAAGAAGGGTTAATAATAAAAATATTTAGACAGTCGAATTGTTACTGATTTGAGTAAATTTAATGTTTTGTTTAACTTTATATTAGATAAATGTTTTATGTATTTAACATGAAAAACTGACTGTAACTTTTGACAGGTAAGTTTATATAAATAAATGTGCCTATATATCAGAATATTTTACATTTCTCTGAATTTATATGAATATTATCTCAAAGAAAAAATTAAAAAGATTAGAAAAAATTTGAATATATATAAATACATACATATATATTACTTTAGACTGACATTGCTTCATTTTTTATACAAGATTCTGCATTTATTATTTTTATGCCCTAAGATTGTGCCTGTAGGCTTTCTTAATTTTGCAAAGAATTTAGAACACAATGCTAATAACTTTGCACTGTATTCTAAATTCTTTGCTAAATTAAAATAAAGTTAATAAATTTTGTTTTATTTTTTTCAGTTGTAAAAATATAAAACGTTCATTTATTAAGTTGTAACATTAGTATAATCACTGGTAAAATATATTTAATGATAACGGATGTATAATATTAGGCTCGAAGAAGTTATTAGTGTAAATAGTTATAGGTGACTTGAAATTGTTGTCATATGAAAGAAATAAATCTAGACATAATAAATATAATTGTCGTTGAAATATAAGAAATTTTGCTTGATAAACCAAAAACTTACTTGGCAGAATTCAGTCTCAAGCGGTGTTGATGTCTATTATTTGACTTTACATTAGACACTTTAAAATGAAGCAAAGTATGAATTTTACTATTTATATTAACAAATAATAACAGTTTTAATTTTAAATAATTTTTTTTTTTTGTTTTGCAATCTTAAACATAATTATGTTCATTTTTTTTTAGTTGTCTTTGTCATCACTTGATTATTTGGCTTACTGTTGAAACATGGTTTTAATTTTGTAAATTTAATATGATGTGAAATTTACAATATTAATCATTTGTCAACAGTCAAAGAGAAGCTGGAACTTAATTAAGAAATGCTGGAAATTAACTTTTAGTTAAGGTAAAAATAATTTTGTTTATTTGTAGCATTAAAAAACCAGTTACTGTTATTTATTGCATGACTTTTTTACTTTTTCTAACATGGTGTTTTTAAAACACTTCCTCTCTCTCTTAGATAAGACTTAAATAAGAATTAGTATTGAGAATTGTAGAGAGAGAATGGATTAAACTCTGTAATTACTGAGCTCTGATTAAACTCTGTAATTACTAAGCTCTTGCGTATTTATTAATACTGCAATCGATAATTTGCTATTTAAAGATATAATTCTTTAAATTGTCCCTTGATTGTTCAAATATTGTAATAAATAAAATCTTTTTAGTTTCAAGTATTTTCTCTTAGGGATCGTCTATATATTACGTAACGCGAAAGTAAACATAGACAAAAGAAATATCTCAAAAACCGTGTTTCTTTCATGGTCTATATGCTATATGCTGCATTTTCAAGAACTATAGCATTTAATAGTTTGTTTTTCACAATTGATAAACATCTTATTCAAGGTATAGTATGTAAAAAAAATATATCATAAAAATTGTTATACTTTTTAAAGTTCTTAATTTGTAGTCTTTAGATTTTCATTTCGCAAATTTACTGTTAAAGCTTGTGAGCACATTTTGTATGTATAACTTTATTTATCATTATCTATTTTTTTTTCATAGTTTTTGGTAAATATATCTATCATTCAACAGTTGTAAAATCTGTTTATACGTGTTACATAAAGTCATATTTGTTTATAGTTATATATATGTTTAAATTATAAAAGCCAAAACAACAATTTATATCTTAGTTT